CTGCTGCTGGGAATGCACAGTGGCACAGTCTCTTTGAAAAAGTGTTTGGCAGTGTCTTATAAGGTTAAATGTATACCCATCATACAACCCAGCAATTTCACTCCTAGGTATTCACCCAAGAGAAACGGAAAAATATGTCCACACAAAGACTTGTGTGCAAATGTTTATAGCAAAATTATTCATAGTCACATATTTTTAACAGCCCAAATCTGAAAACAACCCAAATGGTCTTCAATAAGTGAATGGATAAATGAATTATAGTTATCCTATGATACACTGCTAGGCCATAAAAAGAAACAAAAATATTGATACATGCAACAACATAGATGAATCTCAAAACCTGGACATTGAGTAAAAGAAGTTAAACACAAAAGACAATACACTGTGTTGCTTCATTTATATAAAATTCTAGGAAAGGCAAAACTATAATGACAAGATTTGCAGTTGCTGGAGCATGGGGTCTGGAGAGGGTGATGACTGTGATGGGGTTTGAGAAAACTCCTGGGGATGACAAAAATGCTCTGTACCTTGACTGTGATAGCAGCTACACAACTGTACACAATTGCCAAAACCCCATCAAACTGTATCCATTAAATGTGTAAATATTATTGTATAAATGATTCTAAAGGAAATCAACCCTGAGTAGCATTAGAAGGACTGGTGCTGAAGCTGAAACTCCAATATTTTGCCTGCTTGATTCAAAGAGTTGACTCATTGGAAAAGACCCTGATGCTAGGAAAGATTGAAGGCACAAGGAGATAGGGGCGGCAGAGGATGAGATAGTTATATAGCATCACCGACTCACCAATATGGGTTTAAGCAAACTCCACGAGTTGGTGGAAGACAGAGGAGCCTGGTATGCTGCAGTCCATGGGGCTGCCAACAGTTGGACATGACCTAATGACTAAACAACAACAATTTTTAAAAAATGCTTTGACCTAAAAAATTAAATATAGTTACAAGTCACTTTTTATTAGCGTGAACTACTACCACATTGAACAGAGTCAAAAACAAGAGAACAAGACACACACGTGATCGTAGGTCCTGCACCCTTACCACAGGCTTTCTGAAATACTGAAAAGCATCAAAGAGCCTTGTTTACCACTTTTGTGAATCCCTAGTGGTCCGAAGATCTCACATTAAGAATTACTGGAAGAGACGCTCCCCTTGGTCACAATGTTCTCTGAGGGAACATGTAAAAATGGACCTAAGAAACAGGACCACTGGTCCTTTCCAGAGTGTGAAGTCATACCTTCCCATGGAAGTAAATTAGTGGAGAATAACGCGCAAGGGTATTTTATGAGGCTAAGCCCCTGAGCAGAGCTGCCTTCCTGTCCACTTGGCCAGGAACCATTTCTGTTAAGATTTCCTAGAATCACTTAGGAGACAGAAAAGAAATGCCCTATTTGGGCAGGACTGAAACACTTAGAAAGTAGTCCTAATTAAACTTACATGCAAATTGCCAATCACAGTGGGGCAGTTTTTTAGATTTTCAAATTAGCGGCTATTCAAGACAAAACCAAAAATGGATTTGGTTTAAATAAACATGAAAAGGGAAGGTTTCATCTTTTCCTCCCCTCCCACGGTTTCTGCACATCACTCTCTGACACGTTGAGGGGCAGGGCAAAAGCAATTCAACATTGAATACATAAAAGACTATGCACCGGCAGCTATACAAGAGACATGGCCACCGAGAGGAGTCCGATGTAGTTTCTGACCCTGAGAAATCCACAGAATGGTGTACATCATGAGTGCTAACAGAAAACCCACACGGTGGGGCAGAAAGCACGGGACAAACACCCACCGTGGCGATAGGGGCGGGCAGTTGGTTCTGACTGGGTTAGGAGCTTGAGGACTGTGTCCCACAAAGGAGAACACTACACAGAACCTTGAAGGATGAGACAGATGTAGTAAGTAGAGAAGGTGAAGAGACGGTGGCCGGGGAAGCAACAGATACAACATCGTGGGGCAGGACCTCATGCTCCGAGGGAATCATGGGTATTTTGATGGTGTAGGAGTTTAACGGGAGGCAAGTGGGAAAGCAATGAATGAAGAGCTCACAGTTTGTATTTTAGCTTTTTGCTGTCTGGTTTTTGCTGTGCTTGGGCAGCAGCATCCCAGCCCTACTTATGCCCACAGGGCCACCCCCTCGGGAGCTGAGATCCAGCAGGACACCCCAGTACTGTTCATTCAGAGACAAAGGCCAAAAGTTAGCTCTGAATGAAGAATCCTCTTTTGAGCCAGATCATCTATGACACTGGATCCATGTACTGAAGTCCACAAGGCCATGACATTTCCCCAACGTGTTCATTCAGGTTCCAGTTAAAGGGGCAATAATAGTCCTTTGTGTGTGTGTGAGCACACATACAGTGTAAACTTACCCAGCACCTTTCTCTTTATTTACAAAGCACTTTCTCACTTGTTAACCAGTGGAGTCTCCCAATGCCCCCATGAGTTAGAGGGGCAGAGAAAACACACCCTATTTTATAAGGGAGGAAACAGGCTGGAGGTGCCATGGGTTAAGGCCCATGTTTCCTGTCACAAGTGAAGTGAACTGAAAGTCGCTCAGTCGCGTCTGACTCTTTGTGGCCCCATGGACTTTATCGTCCATGGAATTCTCCAGGCCAGAATACTGAAGTGGGTAGCCTTTCCCTCCTCCAGGGGATCTTCCCAACCCAGGGATCAAACCCACAAAGTGGCCACAGAACATGAACACCGTCTGAAGGGCAGGGAGAGAAGTGATTTACTGCCCAGGTCTCCATGCACTTTTTTTTAGGGTAGGAGACTTTCATCAAAATGTCAAAGTCCAGTGTCCTGTAGACCTCTGAAAAGTTGATTTTGATTTTGATCAGATCAGCCAGCCCCACAGTGTTAAGTCCTGTCTTCTGATTTTTCCTGCTAAGGACACGAAATTCACAGTCAGTGATCAACTTATTCTCAGAATGGACTTGTGGTTGTTGTTCAGTTGCTAAATAGTGTCCAACTCTTTGCTCTCATATTAATGCTTGTTAATAACTCCTCTCCTCCAATCCCTCTTTGTAACACCGAGTCACAGAGCACTGATGCTGGTAGGGCTGTAACGGCACCAGTAATGTGGTTTCCAAGGTTTTTCATTTACTGACCGGCATCTATCATCTTGTTTGATCATAAACTGTGAAGTAGCTAACAGCCTGGATCATTATTCCCCTCTGACAAATGAAATAACTACAACAAAAAGAGGCTGAATCACCTCTCCACAGGTCATAGAGCCAGGCTGGAACACAGGTCTCAGAACCCCCCACCAATGTTCAGTCTACTACACCAAACCCTCTTTCCCTTCCTCCCTGCAGATTAGGTGAGATTTACAACATCCCTGAACTTCACAAACGGGGAAAATGCAGCTCATAGAAGATCAGAAATCTGACTGGCCTTGATGGCGTTCTGGAGAGTTCCCTGCTTCTCATCAGCCCTAGAGAGAGAGCGAGACACAAGTATTGCCTTTATGTGCCGTCATGAGGGTCGCTGCATGTCAGCCCCCATCTTAACCTAAAAATGACTGCAGGCCAATATCAAAAGAAAAGGGAGAGTGCCCACCTACACACTCATGGTAGCTGGCCACATTGTGCTGTCCTGGCCATAGCCGGTCCGCTCCAGGGCATTCTTTTGAAACACATAATGGCATCCACCACTCTACCCCGCCCCCCAAGCCCCAGCCTCAGCTCCTGCTGACAGGCAGGCTCTGAATCCAACAGGCTACAGCCTGAAGCAGCTCCCAGCAGGAGTCAGACGAGGCCGACAAGGTTACAGGTGCTTTTCATCCAGCCTTGCAGGAGAGCACCAACTTCCTGCTGCTAGAAATTTGTCTGCAAATTTTTGTCTTCATTCAAATCGATGGATGGAGGCCTGGGGACCCTGGGGTGATATGATAACTTGATTAAGCCCCAGGACAGATGACACGCTAGCTCAAAGGCCATGTGCTCTCCTCCTTAACCTCTCCAAGGGAGACCGCAGGCTTTGCTGGTAATTGGCCCATTGTCCCTTCCACCGTGCTTCCTACAGAAGCCCACTAATCGGCACAACCCTGGGCTCCTCTCTGAAGCAGCCTTAAATGCTCTCAGAGTCATCAGACTCAGTGAGCTGTGAAAAATACCTGTGCAATGTGACATACCAGAGTTGTGATTTGAACAGCCAAAAATGACCTTTACTGGAAACAATGACTTGGGGAGATACCCTTCCATCCTCCAGGCCTGGGTGTAAATTGCAACACATTTTACAGGGATGAAAGTCTGAGACGGTTTTGTTAAAAATGTGTTCAAACTTTTAGAATGGTTTGCTCTCTTGGGGAAATAATCCCCCTATCTTTCATGTTTACCCAGTTTAGTGTCTCCTGTTAGACAAACCATTACTGAGAGTGTTTATGATCAACCATTTGCAGGTACTTTGGCATACACTCATGTGAGTCTGCCCTGGGTGAGTCAATGTGTGGATGTTGTTTCTGGAACAAATGTAATTCAGGTCTGCCAAAGGAGGGAGAGAGCACTAAACAACAATTGATGGATGGGATCCATAGGTGGGTCAGCAGCCACGGTGATAGATGTTTTTTTTTCCCCACTCCTTTTTAAAATCTCCCGTCAGCCTTTTTTCATTGTTTCGGAGATTTTAGAGTTAAGAGGGAGTTTGAAACGTATCTCCTCGATCCATTTTCTTTAGGAATATTGTAAAGGAATAAAATTCACTACTCAGGATCTCGGATGGGTTCACTTTGAGAGACGTCAAGAAACAGAGTTGTTACTGGCCCTTGAAAATAAGCAAAGTACACATTAAAAGTTAAAGAAATGCTATTTTAAATTTTCCTTATGATTTATTGCTTGAATCTCCCTGTAAGAAAAACGGCTAGGTATGCCAACAACACCGTTGATGTATTTGTCATGGGAATGGAATGTCTTTTGAACTGCTAAAATAGATAATTCCAAGCCTGGAAGAAAAACAAGGCGGGGGGGGGGGGGGGGGGAGGGGAAAGCATGGGAGAAAAAAAGAGCCTCTCATTTTCCAATAATTGCAAAGGCCAGGAATGTGCCACAGTGGCACCGAGGACCACGTGGCGGGACGCCCTACAGTGGCGCACGCGCCTCCTCCCCCTGGTGCCAGGGGGGTGGTGGGAAGCCGACTGGGAGATCGCTTCGGCCATCTGCCCAGAACCCAGGAGCTGGAGCATTTGTGCCTTCCTGCGAGGGAGAACTGTGTGTTTTTATCTTTGTCATCTTAAAGCGGGCCTCCCAGCCCCTAAAGGCAGCGCGCGCCCCGCGTGCTGCGCGGGAGCCCTAGCTGAGCGGAGCCTCCTGCCGCCCCAGGACTGGAAAGGCGCTTCTAAAAGGGGGCGTTCCGCTCGGTCCTCTGCGCCGCCGGCCTTTGTCTACGCTCGCCCCGCACGGGGGCTGAGGAAGGGGCTTTTTAAATGGCTTCCCGGAAACAAAGGGGGCCCAGGCGCCCGGCTTCATTACGGGCTCATCGGCCACACCGGCCGGCCCGCCCCTCGCCCGCCCCACTGTGGCCACCATCGGGCCCTGCCTCGCTCTCGCTAGCCACCCGGGCCCACCGACCCATGGAGCAGGGCGGCGGGGTAGGGCTCTCCCCCAGGCCTCCCCTTCTCCACCGGCTTCCCCTAGCCGTCCCCAGCACTCCTCCGCTACCCTCACTCCCACCCCCACTGTCGCATCTACCCCGCGCTCCTGGCATGCCACACCCTCCTGCCCCGAGAGATTCTCTCACCCCAGAGCAGCCCTTTCCCGGTGGAGAGGCTCTTTCCGGCCTGAGGGCAAGGGAAGGATTGCGTCTAAACTGCCTTGAGGGCCCACGTTGAGAGGATCCAAGCCCTGACTCCTGCGTGACCGCTCTCTGACCCTCCTTTGCTGTTGACTGACCACAGACTGGCCGACCACAACTGGGAGTAGGGAATCCGAGGGCCCAGATTTTGACGCAGAGAAGAGGTTAGCATGACCTCAGACATACTCTGGGGGCCACCTGTTAGGCAAAAATGGAAAGAGGCCACTTGGAAGGTGAGCAATAATGTATGTGACCCTCCTCCTTCTAGTAGGTGGTGCTAAAATCCCAACTACAGTGTCATTAGAGCAGGAACCCACTGCACCCAAGGGCTGCTGCCTTGGGAAGTGCCTCTGAAGCGAGGAGGTCTGGGGAGGGGCGGCCAGTGGCAGGCCAGCCCTTCCTCTGAGAGGAGGCTTGCTCCTATTGCTGTTCGCCCTCCCCCACGAAACCCCTCCTCAGGGGAACCTACAGAGCCTGTGATAAGAGCATTGGGCAGGTGCTCCACAGAGTCAAATCCCAAGTCTTTGGAGAATGGCCCAAAGGCATTGCAAGATGCTGTGATCATAAGGCGTGAAGACAAGTCAAACGGACCATTTCATGTGAAGCCAGCGAGTCATGGGAATAGACACATCTTCATGCGGGGCATGGAGGACTTTTTCAGACTGAATCCTTGCTGTGCTCCTTTCTCACAGAGGACCTGACCAGCACCCGCAGGACAGGGGTGACAGAGCGTTCACCATCAGAGTAAGAGCACAGGCTCCTAGGGGAACTTTCCAAAAGACCAAAGAGCCACTCCAGGTCCTCAGTGCTATCCTGGGGCTGCCTCTATTAGTGAAGGCTAACAGAAGGCTGCCTCTATTGGTGCCCACCCAGAGGACTGGTATTAACAGTGGACCATCAGGCTAGGCCAGACAGGTGGGAGGCACAAACCCAGAGAGGGCTGGGAGCAGCTAAACATCCTGTCTGCCATCCCAGCAGGGTGTTGTTGCTTCTCACTTGCAGTTGGTGATGAAGAAGGTGAATTGTTTCAGAGTAGCACAGATAGCAATTGAAAATGGCGATAGGAAAACCTCACCCAGATCCCAGCCCACAGCCTGCAATGGGCTACTCCCGGAAGCAGTGAGGGAAAATGTAGGACTGTGGCCCTGCAGACCGGTTAGTACCCTCCTCCTCCTCCATGCTATGCATACCGGGCACCAGTGATGCCCATCATTTGGATGCTGCCAGTTGTCCCAAGGTCCCCAAAGGAAAATGGGAGTTTCTGAGTGCAACCATCTTTTTGTTGCTAGACTGATTTTCAGCCAACTTGGCTAACATACATGTTAACTTTTTGGTATTAATTTTCCCTTTATTTACTTTGCCTCCCTGTTTTTTCCTACAGTGATCATGAATTGTGACATTTTCGAAAATTACTAAAAAAGAAACAGGAACCCACTGGATAGTCTGAGAATTTAGATATCCAGTGAAGGAAAGTCCTAGTTGAGACTAAAATTGGTTTAAAAACTGCCCCCAAGAAACTTCCCTAGTGGTATAGTGGCTAAAACTCCACACTTGCAATGCAGAGGGCACAAGTTTAAGCCCTGTTTGGGGAACTAGGTCCCACCGTACCATAACTAAGAGTTTGTATACCTCAAGTAAAGATCCTGCATGTAGCAATGAAGATCAAAGATCCAGAGAGCCACAGCTAAGATCCAGTGTAGCCAAATAAATAAAAACTGCCCCAAGATGTTGCAGTGCTTGGGCACTTGTGTAGGAGCAGGTGTGAGCGGTGGGTGAGGAAGGGTTGCATGTTCAGCCCTGGACCCCAGGTTTCTGCAGTTTCTCTGCTCATGTCCTCTCAGACGAGATAACTTCACTTCTGACAGTGAGCTTGTCCAGAGACTCCCAGACCTGATGACCAGCAGCTAGTCTGTCCAACGTGAAGGACACAAAGAGGCCAGTTGGAGTCACCCTGAAGAGGATTCATCACACAAGCTTTTCTCCATCTGGGATGGTGAAGGAATAGCAGTTGGGCTGTTGGAACGCTCTTAAAATACTTTTGATGAGCTGGCCTCAAGCAAAGTGGGTTGAGGCCCAAGGTAGATGATGCAATGCTGACTCCCTCTTGGGCTGGCCTGGGAAGGAGGTAGATGGCTTCCGTGATGTGATTCCCAACCCTGCTCAGTCAACCAGAGGTGATGAAATTATGCAGGGGCCAGAGACCTTGCTCTGGCTGGAGCAGAATCCCATGGGCCCTCTTGGGCGGAGAACCTGTTTAATCTGGAGCAAAGGACCTCAGAATGAGTGGTATTTGTGTATACCTGGGGAAATGCTCTGAGGAGGGGAAAGATGTAAATGTTTATTAGTGGTGGTTTTAAAAGTCTAGGGAGGTATCTGCTAAATGAAAATTTTAGCATAATTTCATACTCAAATCCACTGGATATAATGAAATGGTCAATTTTAAGTCTCAAATGTTGCTTTTTTAAAACTCTATGAAAGTTTCCAAGTTAATTTTGTTCAACCTCCTGTCTTAACTTGGTATAAATATTAACTGAACTGTTTTTGAACTCTGATTTTGAACTGGTTAAAAATCTTATTTCATTAAATGGATTTCTGAGGCCTATAAGATTTCTTTCCAGTGGCGTAGGGCCCGTCTGCCAGTTGCGGCTAAATCAGTGCACTGGTGTATGGGCTGGTTTTGACATTTAAGATTTGGTACATTTATAAAACTAGTATTTTAGGTTAACATCTTTTTTTTAAGTTGGTCTTCAGTCTAATTCATATTTTTTGAAGCTATAACATATTTGAAACTTTAATAGGCACTCTGCACTGATAATGCCACAGAGTATCCACAATTGAGTAACTGTGGATGATATTGAGTTTCTGGAACTTAAAAGAACAGTTATGTGACACATCTGCTTTATAGAAAAAGGTAAATTAAATATATAGTCTATATTACATATAATAATATAGAATATTCTATGTTATTCTATATTACATATAGTTACCATGGACTAGTCACTCTCCTTACTAAGATTGGCATTCAAAAGTTATCATCACAATAACCATTATATTCTTTTGATATTAGTATATTAATAGCACTTTATACAACATCTGCCTTGTTATTTATGCATTCAGCAAACATTTACTGATTTCCTTCAATGTGCCAGGTTCTATGCTAAGGACCAGAAATTGAAGTGAGTCAGCATTATTTCTGTTACTGAAGTGACATTTAGTAGAAGATAAAAATGGGAAAGCAAATAAAGATGGGAACATGTTATAAGTGTTAAAATACAGAAATGAACAATGAACCAAAAGGATGATGGTACAAGCTCTGCCCAGAAGAGGGAAAAGAAAGTAGAACCATCTTCCCAGTGGAAGGCTCCCGGCCCTTAACTGTCAGTCACCCTCTGAGTGTTACCACAGCCTTGTGGGTGGCCACCCAGCTGCCACACTTACCACAAGGCTAAGAAAGGCTTCTGTTGGAGTGTGGGAGAGTGTGCTCCCCACCCAGGCCTGGAGTTCTTCAGGAGTGGGGAGTAGCTATTCTGATTCAAAGTGACAACCAGTCCTCTGTAAGATGTCAACAGGAACCCTCAAGCAATTACCACTAAACAACACATTCATTTACCAAACATCAACATTATGAAGGAAGGACTTCTACTGAACGACAGTCATGAATTCTGACCCCTGCCCTTGGCTGGTGACCCCAAGAGTGAAGATGATCATAGCTGTTGCATTTGCTGTTCCTTCTGCCTCAACCACTTAGATGTGGATTCATCCAGAAAACCCTCCTGATGACCGTCAACTGTGGGCTCTCATAGCGCCTTCTGCTTCATTCATTTAGACCGAAATTCACTGAGCATCTACGTGTGCATGTGCACGCATGCTCAATCGTGTCTGACTCTGCAAACCCATGAGAGTAGCCCAGCAGGCTCCTCTGCCCATGGAATTTTCCAGGCAAGAATACTGGAGTGGGTTGCCATTTCCTCCTCCAGGGGATCTTCCCAACCCAGGGATGGAACCTGTGTCTCTGTATCTCCTGCACTGACAGGCAGATTCATTGCTCCTGAGCCACCTGGGAAGCCCCTCACTGAGCCCCTCACTGAGCATTTACCACCCGACACACATTAGGACCACAGTAGGGAATAGACCAAACATCCTGCCCCCCAAGGAGCTTTTATCCTGAGGGAGGGGTAAGGAAAGCAAATAAATAAGGGAAATACAGAGTGTGTTATATAGTGGAGAGTTAGTGGGAGCTCCCCTGGTGGGGAGGAGTATCATATAACAATGTTTAGACTTGCCAATGCATGGTGCTAATAGAAAACAGACTGACTTAGTACATTTCATGATTATTTTTTAATTTTCTACAGATGATGCACCTCCTTATTACCTGGACTCAGTACATGCTCTCCACCCCCAACACTGAATTGGTAAATCACTGAATTAAAGAGAGATAAGTGCTCACAGACATAGAAGACAAACTGATGGTTAGCAAGGGGGAAGGGAGGGGGGAGAGATAAATGAGGAGTTTGGGATTAACGGATACACACTGCTATATATATAATAGATAAATAACAAGGACCTGCTGTATAGCAGAGCAAACTATATTCAATATCTTATAATAATCTATAATAGAAAATAATCTGAAAAAGTATACACAGGTATGACCAAATCACTTTCCTGTACTCCTGAAACTAACACAATGTTATAAATCAACGATGCATGTTTAAGTTGCTTCCATTATGTCTGGTTCTGTGTGACCCTATGGATCATAGCC